GGTTATTAAGCATTGACAATGGATGAAAGTGATAAAAACAAGAGAGAAAACAGACCTTCTGCCCTGGCTCTAAGGTGATGGTAGTTGTTCGTCGTTGGAGAATAGTCTCGATATCTTCTTCACTGAACTTGCTGCCTTCGTCGACGTTTTCATCCATGATAGAGCCATAAGCACCCTAAACACGTAACAAATTATCCCAAGAATAAAACAAAACATATTACAACATACCTTCTTCAGCAGTTCCTCAACATCTTTTTTGCTCAACGCTGTGCTGCTTTCTTTGAGAGCGGTTGTAGACTGTAGCACAGCTTTATCTAATCCAAGCTTCAGAGACGCCTTATCGAACATTTCCCTCTCATAAGTGTTGGCAGTGACCAATCGATAAACTTTGACCATTTTTGTTTGGCCAATTCGATGACATCTAAGAAGCAGAAAAATAAGGTACACATTAGTCCATAACCAGAACTCTTGAGCACTAATCTAACCTCGCCTGTGCCTGCAGGTCATTTTGAGGATTCCAGTCTGAATCGAAGATGATAACAGTGTCGGCAGCTGTCAGATTGATGCCCAAACCGCCAGCTCTGGTACATAGCAGAAAGACAAAACGATCAGAATCTAAAATTAACAGTTATCATGGCATCAAAAAGCCCATCCGTGAGAAATTTACCTTTCTTTGAGAATCGATCAATCGACGCTTGGCGCAGGTCTCCTCGCACATTTCCATCAATTCTTTCAAACGGATAGTTCATGTTAACAAGAAATTCCTCCAGCAAATCCAGAACCTTGACCATTTGTGAAAAGATAAGCACCTCAAAGTAGAAAGCTTATTTTAACTGGACAGAACTAGCACACAATCTACGCATACTTTGTGACCATCCTTTCTCAACTTCGGCAAAAGTTTCTCGATAAGAACTACTTTTCCAGATGCCTGTACTAGTGCTTTGTGTGCCAAGGTCTCCTCATCCCAGTCAGGATGCAGCATTTTTAGCTCAGACATAATGGTTTCTTCAGCACCCTAAAATGCGAAAATCATTTGATAAAAAAGGAAAATGCATGAAATAGATGGAAAAGCTAAAAAGAAAGAGTATTATAGTAGTTCTATACCTGAATCAAGAACGGATGATTGCAACATTTGCGAAGCTCCATCATCACGTTCATTAGCGAAGGCGCGGACGCACCTATAACAAATATTCATTCACAAAAAATTCAATAACAGCCAGCTTGTGAGGATTGCAGTCATAGTTGATCATAAGACTGTTATATAACACCTATGGAAAAGAAAGATTATGAATTCTGAAAAAATTATAATCACAACTATATACGGAGAAAAATATACCCTTGCACAAGTGGGAGAAGTTCCTCTCAAGAATTGCACGATAAAACTTCTTTTGGGTGTCGGAAAGTTGTACCTGAAATATACGATATTTCAAAATAAATCAAAGAGAGACAGGTATAGAGATGAGAAAAAATAGAAAAGTGATTACAAGTACACACCTCAATGATAGTTTCTTCTTTCGGCTGTAATGATTTCTCCACATCTTCTTTAAGACGACGAAGCATCATGGGTTTCAAGATTTCTTGCAATTTCTGCACTTGTTCATCTGACTGGCACTGTCCAAACTGCTCTAGGAAGGCGGCTGCAAACGAGAAATGCACTAGGATTCGAATG